CCTCCCCCTTAAGTTGGAGCATGCGGATTTCGGATGCCCAACTTGCCAAGAAAAAAATCAAACTCACGTTTTCCCAAGGCCTTGGTGAAGATGTCCGCCAATTGAGAACGGTAGAAATGAAACCTTGAACATGAGCATCACGAAGAAAATGACAGTCAACTTCAATGTGTTTGGTACGCTCATGAAAGACAGGATTAGCGGCAATGTGTAGCGCCGCTTGACTATCACAATGAATCCGCATCGGCTGAGAATGAGCCACACCAAGACTGCGAAGTAAACCCCGCAACGATTTCAACTCGCAAGTAAGTGTCGCCATAGCACGATACTCAGCCTCGGCAGAAGAGCGAACAACTGTGTGCTGCTTTTTAGTACGCCATGATATTGGAGAATGACCAAGTTGTACGAACCAACCAGTGAGAGAACGTCGAGTAGTAGGGCATGTTGTCCAATCGGAATCACACCAACCACAGACCTGTAAGTCACAATCAGACCGAAGAAGAACATCTCGGCCCGGAGTACCCTTCAAATAACGTGCCACACGAGTGGCGGTATCCCAGTGTGCCTGACGAGGCTGATGCATAAACTGAGAGAGCATGTGCACAACATAAGACAAGTCGGGACGAGTGACAACTAAATAAATTAAACGACCCACTAATCATCGATATCGCTCAGGATTAGAGAACAACGGACCATCTGCTAAGGGAAGCTGGTGATTTTGCTCCATAGAGAAATCAGCAGGCTTGCCACCAAGTAGGCCAGCTTCGGCAATTATGTCAAGAGTGTATTTCTGCTGACATAGAAATATGCCAGAGGAATTCCGAGCAACTTCGATGCCCAAAAAATATTTCAAGACTCCCAAATCCTTCATATGAAAACAACGACCCAAGTACTCCTTAAAGGCAGTAATAGCAGCCGGATCGCTTCCAGAAATGATGAGATCATCAACATAAACCAGGACATGCAAGGAAATAGAATCTCGATGTAGAGTGAAAAGTGAGTAATCAGAATAAGACTGCTCAAATCCATAATGTTTAAGAGCAGTAGCAAGCTTTGCAAACCAACAACGGGGAGCTTGCTTTAAACCATATAGAGATCGACGTAATCGACACACCTTACCAGGATCAGGCGAATGAAAACCAGGAGGAAGTTTCATGTAGACCTCCTCAGGCAGATCCCCACGCAAGAACGCATTGTGCATGTCCATCTGATGAACCTCTGAATGTCGAGCAGCTGCAACAGCAAGAAAGGCCCGTACAGTAACCATCTTGACGACAGGTGAAAATATCTCCTGATAATCAATGCCCTCCACCTGTCGGTTACCCAAGACAACCATACGCGCCTCGTAGCGCTCAACAGAACCATCAGAGTTATGTTTAATTTTATAAATCCACTTGCAACCAATTGCGTGTTTTCCAGTAGGAAGAGAAACAATATCCCACGTACGGTTCGATTCTAATGCTTGAATCTCCAGTTGCATAGCGGAACACCAATGACTATCTCGAACAGCCTCAGAATAGGTTCGAGGCTCAACAGCAGAAACAATGGCTGCCAAAAATGACTGATGTGCAGGGGAAAATGAATCACAAGGAACATAGTGTGCGAGAGGGTAAGGAGTACCAGATGATGGCGCGACGGGGGAGGCAGAGTGGGGGGACGAGGAACAAATAGTGTGAGAGACAAAGTCGGCAAGACGCCTCTTGAGACGATGACCACGACCCAACACTTCATCTAGGGGAGGATTACCCCCCCTTATCCACAATGACCTCAAAACCCCCAGTGGCAGCGGTACGCATTGAAGTGGGAACCACCACATCATCATCGTCATAAATAGCAAGCCATGGAACCACGTGTACGGAGGCAGTATCAAGAGCAGGAGACGTCAAATAAGGGAACTCTGATTCATTGAATTTTACATCTCGTGAGACCAAAAAAATGCGGTTGTCCAAATCATAAACGCACCACCGCTTTTGACCAGATGGATAGCCAACAAAGACACATCGACGACTCCGTATTGCAAACTTGTCACCATACCTGTTCTGATTGTGCACGTAACACAAACAACCAAAAACATGTAAATGCGCATAGTTGGGAGGTTCGCCATAAAAAAGTTCATAAGGAGTCTTGTCGGCTAAAAGAGGAGTAGGTGTTCGATTAATCAAATAGCCAGCAACAAGTACACAATGTCCCCATAACTCAATCGATAAATGGGCCTGAAAGCATAATGCTCGAGAAACATTAAGAATGTGTTGATGTTTGTGCTCAGCACGTCCATTTTGTTGAGGAGTTCCCACACAAGAAGCTTCATGAACAATCTCTTGTTGACGGAAACAATCACGCATACGAGTAAATTCAGTCCCATTGTCACTGCGAAGAGTTTTAACCAATACACCAAATTGCCTTTTTACAAAAGCAAAAAATTCAGAGATTTGTCATCCAACAAAAAATCCAAGTTCCTCGAGAGTAGTCGTCAACATTAGAAAAAAAAATATCGAGCACCACTAAAGGCAGAAACTCTATAAGGTCCCCACACATCACTATGAATCAGACTGAAAATGGAACTGCCAATACAGCGACTAAGAGAAAAGCTAGCACGAGTTTGCTTTGCCCGACAACAAACATCACAAGATTTATTCGAGACAAAGGAGGGAGACTCGACAAAAGGCAATTGACCAAGAACAGTAGAAGATGGATGACCCATTCGCTGGTGCCACAAGTTCTCCATAACCAAAGACACCTGAGGAGCATTAGCAATAATTGGCCCTCGGAAAAAATAAAGTCCCCCTAACTGCTCACCCGCTCCAATC